TGTATAGTGTGGAGGGTACAGGGGAGAGCTGTATAGTGTGGAGGGTACAGGGGGTGAGCTGTATAGTGTGGAGGGTACGGGGGGGTGAGTTGTATAGTGTGGAGGGTACGGGGGTGAGTTGTATAGTGTGGAGGGTACGGGGGTGAGCTGTATAGTGTGGAGGGTACGGGGGTAAGCTGTTTAGTGTGGAGGGTACAGGGGAGAGAAGTATAGTGTGGAGGGCATGGTGGTGAGCTGTATAGTGTGGAGGGTACGGGGGTGAGTTGTATAGTGTGGAGGGTACGGGGGTGAGCTGTATAGTGTGGAGGGTACGGGGGTGAGCTGTATAGTGTGGAGGGTACGGGGGTGAGCTGTTTAGTGTGGAGGGTACAGGGGAGAGATGTATAGTGTGGAGGGCATGGTGGTGAGCTGTATAGTGTGGAGGGTATGGGGGGTGAGACATATAGTGTGGATGGGTGGAATGTATAGTGTGGAGGAGAGTTGAGATGTATAATGTGGAGGGTATGGGGGTGAGCTGTATAGTGTGGAGGGTATGGGGGTGAGCTGTATTTGTGCAGGGTATGGGGGTGAGCTGTATAGTGTGGAGGGTACGGGGGTGAGCTGTATAGTGTGGAGGGTACGGGGGTAAGCTGTTTAGTGTGGAGGGTACAGGGGAGAGAAGTATAGTGTGGAGGGCATGGTGGTGAGCTGTATAGTGTGGAGGGTACGGGGGTGAGTTGTATAGTGTGGAGGGTACGGGGGTGAGCTGTATAGTGTGGAGGGTACGGGGGTGAGCTGTATAGTGTGGAGGGTACGGGGGGTGAGCTGTATAGTGTGGAGGGTACGGGGGTAAGCTGTTTAGTGTGGAGGGTACAGGGGAGAGATGTATAGTGTGGAGGGCATGGTGGTGAGCTGTATAGTGTGGAGGGTACAGGGGAGAGATGTATAGTGTGGAGGGCATGGTGGTGAGCTGTATAGTGTGGAGGGTATGGGGGGTGAGACATATAGTGTGGATGGGTGGAATGTATAGTGTGGAGGAGAGGTGAGATGTATAATGTGGAGGGTATGGGGGTGAGCTGTATAGTGTGGAGGGTATGGGGGTGAGCTGTATAGTGTGGAGGGTATGGGGGTGAGCTGTATAGTGTAGAGGGTATGGGGGGGTGAGCTGTATTGTGTGGAGGGTATGGGGGTGAGCTGTATAGTGTGGAGGGTACGGGGGTGAGCTGTATTGTGTGGAGGGTACGGGGGTGAGCTGTATTGTGTGGAGGGTACGGGGGTGAGCTGTATAGTGTGGAGGGTACGGGGGTGAGCTGTATAGTGTGGAGGGTACGGGGGTGAGCTGTATAGTGTGGAGGGTACGGGGGTGAGCTGTATTGTGTGGAGGGTACGGGGGTGAGCTGTATAGTGTGGAGGGTACGGGGTGAGCTGTATTGTGTGGACGGTACGGGGGTGAGCTGTATAGTGTGGAGGGTACGGGGGTGAGCTGTATAGTGTGGAGGGTACGGGGGTGAGCTGTATAGTGTGGAGGGTACGGGGGTGAGCTGTATAGTGTGGAGGGTACGGGGGTGAGCTGTATAGTGTGGAGGGTATGGGGGTGAGCTGTATAGTGTGGAGGGTATGGGGGTGAGCTGTATTGTGTGGAGGGTATGGGGGTGAGCTGTATAGTGTGGAGGGTATGGGGGTGAGCTGTATTGTGTGGAGGGTATGGGGGTGAGCTGTAGAGTGTGGAGGGTATGGGGGTGAGCTGTATTGTGTGGAGGGTATGGGGGTGAGCTGTATAGTGTGGAGGGTATGGGGGTGAGCTGTATTGTGTGGAGGGTATGGGGGTGAGCTGTAGAGTGTGGAGGGTACGGGGGTGAGCTGTATAGTGTGGAAGGTACGGGGGTGAGCTGTATAGTGTGGAGGGTATGGGGGTGAGCTGTATTGTGTGGAGGTGAGCTGTATAGCGTGGAGGGTATGGGGGTGAGCTGTATAACGTGGAGGGTATGGGGGGTGAGATGTATAGCGTGGAGGGTATGGGGGTGAGCTGTATTGTGTGGAGAGTATGGGGGGTGAGCTGTATAGTGTGGAGGGTATGAGGTGAGACGTATAGTGTGGGGGGCATGGGGGTGAGACGTATAGTGTGTGGAGGGTATGGTGGTGAGCTGTATAGTGTGGAGGGTATGGGGGTGAGCTGTATAGTGTGGAGGGTATGAGGTTAAGACGTATAGTGTGGGGGGTATGGGGGTGAGACATATAGTGTGGAGGGTATGGTGGTGAGCTGTATAGTGTGGAGGGTATGGGGGTGAGCTGTATAGTGTGGAGGGTATGGGGGTGAGCTGTATAGTGTGGAGGGTATGGGGGTGAGCTGTATTGTGTGGAGGGTATGGGGGTGAGCTGTATAGTGTGGAGGGTATGGGGGTGAGCTGTATAGTGTGGAGGGTATGGGGGTGAGCTGTATAGTGTGGAGGGTATGGGGGTGAGCTGTATTGTGTGGAGGGTATGGGGGTGAGCTGTATAGTGTGGAGGGTACGGGGGTGAGCTGTATAGTGTGGCGGGTATGGGGGTGAGCTGTATAGTGTGGAGGGTATGGTGGTGAGCTGTATAGTGTGGAGGGTATGGGGGTGAGCTGTATAGTGTGGAGGGTATGGTGGTGAGCTGTATAGTGTGGAGGGTACGGGGGGGTGAGCTGTATAGTGTGGAGGGTAGAGGGGTGAGCTGTATAGTGTGGAGGGTACGGGGGTGAGCTGTATAGTGTGGAGGGTACAGGGGTGAGCTGTATAGTGTGGAGGGTATGGGGTGAGCTGTATAGTGTGGAGGGTATGAGGTTGAGACGTATAGTGTGGGGGGTATGGGGGTGAGCTGTATAGTGTGGAGGGTATGGGGGTGAGCTGTATAGTGTGGAGGATATGAGGTTGAGACGTATAGTGTGGAGGGTATGGGGGGTGAGCTGTATAGTGTGGAGGGTATGAGGTTGAGCTGTATAGTGTGGAGGGTATGAGGTTGAGACGTATAGTGTGGAGGGTAGCGGGGTGAGCTGTATAGTGTGGAGGGTACGGGGGTGAGCTGTATAGTGTGGAGGGTACAGGGGTGAGCTGTATAGTGTGGAGGGTATGGGGGTGAGCTGTATAGTGTGGAGGGTATGAGGTTGAGACGTATAGTGTGGAGGGAGGGTATATGGGGGTGAGCTGTATAGTGTGGAGGGTATGGGGGTGAGCTGTATAGTGTGGAGGGTATGGGGGTGAGCTGTATAGTGTGGAGGGTACGGGGGTGAGCTGTATAGTGTGGAGGGTATGGGGGTGAGCTGTATAGTGTGGAGGGTATGAGGTTGAGACGTATAGTGTGGAGGACCACAGAGGAGTGCGCTGTCCTAGTGGCAGCATTCAGTATTGTGTTTGTAAATGGGGATCACGGAGGACAGAGATCAGCCACAAGTGGTACCAAAAGGCTCTCTACTAGGTCTTGTTCTATTAGGGCCCCATGGGGCTGCCTAGTTGCAGTGCATCCCTCCTGACGTTTAGCTCCACCCAGTTGCAGCCTGCCATAGACTTTGACAGGCTTCCTGCAGCAGGGCTGGATGAAGAACCTGTCCCTCTTGGGTACCATAAGACATGAGGAGGGATGCACTGCAGTTGGATGGCCCCGTGTGTAAGGGGCCTTAATGTGATCTAACTGAACGTTTGCTGGGTAAGGGAAGTCTTTTTACTGGGGACACAAAGGTGTAACATTGAGTTGATAATACTAGAGGTATTAGTAACATGGAACTTGACTTGGCATTGCTGGAATATTGGTCAGAGCAGGTAGGCTGCATGGGGCCCCATCATTTCCTATGGTGGTCTAAGAGTGTGAACAAGGTTCAGAAGGGCAGTTTTTTCAATACGAGTCAAAGATGAAGAACACGGGGACATGACCTCAAACTAGAGGAGGAAAGTTCAGAATGGACCTTAGAAAGTACTATTTTCGAACAAGTCAGCAATGTCCTGTCTTCTCCTGACCCAAAAATGGCCATCACAGCACTTGTCCTGTCTTCTCCCTTTTAAAGTGGATATTTCCATCCCGGCTAGTAATATTTATCTGATTAAAGACATTCTACGAAGAGGGAGAAAATCAATAAAAATCCATTTCCCAACAAGGTGGCACAATGAAGTCACTAAGCTTCCAGAGCAGAGCAGAATACCAATGAGAGGATCATGGAGCTCCACCAGCATCTGGATAAGTTCTCCGCCATTCATCAGGAAACATTCCTCCGCCATCAGAGTGCTGAGGAGTTGTCATGTCTGATGGATGGAGCTGAGGTTCTAATGGTCTCCAAAACGTCCTTTATAAGAGATGGTGAGGAGGGGCTGGGAAGATGGTGGACAGGAGACGCGTCTCTCCAAACAGTTGTGTGTGTGTCACATCGTTGGCCTGAAAGTGCATCTGTACTTTGCATGTACCGCCCTTTGTGAAAACTGCTACGTGGCCGTAGACTCGGAGGTTTTCAAACAAACATTCACACAAAAATTTTCAGTATGTTCGATGTCGTTTAAAATGTCCACAGGCTCTAACCATTTCTTATAGTATCTGACCTTCTCCTGTATTATGTCTGCAGTCTCTGACCATCTTCAGTAGCATGTCTGCAATCTTCGATCATCTCCTGTAGCATGTCTGCAATCTCTGACCATCTCCTGTACTGTGTCCGCAGTCTCTGACCATCTCCTGTAGTATGCCTGCAGTCTCTGACCATCTCCTGTAGTATGTCTGCAGTCTCTGACCATCTCCTGTAGTGTGTCTAAAGTCTCTGACCATCTCCTGTAGCATGTCTGCAGTCTCTGACCATCTCCTGTAGTATGTCTCCAGTCTGTGACCATCTCCTGCAGCATATCTGCAGTCTCTAACCATCTCCTGTAGCGTGTCTGCAATCTTCGATCATCTCCTGTAGCATGTCTGCAATCTCTAACCATCTCCTGTAGCATGTCTGTAATCTTCAACCATCTCCTGTAGTATGTCTGCAGTCTCTGACCGTCTCCTGTAGTATGTTTGCAGTCTCTGACCGTCTCCTGTAGCATGTCTGCAGTCTCTGACCGTCTCCTGTAGCATGTCTGCAGTCTCTGACCGTCTCTTGTAGCATGTCTGCAGTCTCTGACCGCCTCCTGTAGTATGTCTGCAGTCTCTGACCGTCTCCTGTAGTATGTCTGCAGTCTCTGACCGTCTCCTGTAGCATGTCTGCAGTCTCTGACCGTCTCCTGTAGCATGTCTGCAGTCTCTGACCATCGCCTGTAGTATGTCTGCAATCTTTGACCATCTTCTGTAGCATGTCTGCAGTCTTTGAACATCTCCTGTAGCAGCATGTCTGCAATCTTTGACCATCTCCTGTACCATGTCTGCAATCTCTAACCGTCTCCTGTACCATGTCTGCAATCTTCAACCATCTCTTGTAGCATGTCTGCAGTCTCTGACCGTCTCTTGTAGCATGTCTGCAGTTTCTGACCGTCTCCTGTAGCATGTCTGCAGTCTCTGACCGTCTCCTGTAGCATGTCTGCAGTCTCTGACCGTCTCCTGTAGCATGTCTGCAGTCTCTGACCGTCTCCTGTAGCATGTCTGCAGTCTCTGACCGTCTCCTGTAGCGTGTCTGCAGTCTCTGACCATCTCCTGTAGTCTGTCTGCAGTCTTTGTGAGCCTTAGGCCACTTTACATTGACTAAATTTATTGTGAGGCCCTTTGGCGATATTAGGGGCCACACTTCCTATAACTAATCAATTGTCCTCAACTGCTATACAGTCTCTGGAGTTTGTGAAGAAAGGGATGAAAACACTGGGCAGCACAGTGGCTAAATGGTCAGCAGCACTTCCACCTGGCAGTACTCAGGTCGTTGGTTTGAATCCCAACCACGGCACCACCTGCCTGGAGTTTTGCATGTTCTCCCTGTGCCTGCGTGGGTTTCCTCTGGGTGCTCCGGTTTCCTCCCACACTCCAAAGACATGCTGGTAGGTGAATTGGATCCTGTCTAAATTGTCCCTAGTATGTGTATGTATGAATGTGAGTTAGGGACCTTAGATTGTACGCTCCTCGGGGGCGGGGCCTGATGTGAATGTACAATATATGTAAAGTGCTGCGTACATTGATAGCGCTATATAAGTACCTGAAATAATAAATAAATAAAACACAAACTCTGCAGAGTGTCAGAGCAGTACATGGATCTTCCTCCCTGCCTGCAGTTGTGAATGGATCTCATTAAGCAGTACGGCGCCTGTGCTGATGACGTGAATACACAGCCCAGCAGAGATAATACAGACAGCGCTCGGCATGTTACATCTGCCAGCAGCAGGACGGCGCTCACTCATTCACATTAATCTGTGAGATAGGTTTTTCATTCCTTAATGAATATTAATCATATCTAACAAAAAGGCCATTTCTCTGCTCCGTCCCCCAACATCACTCCGATCACAGAACGCAGCCCCCCCCCCCCCCCCCCCGCCCAGAAACACCAACTCCATGCCAAGCATGCTAGTCTCCAAAACCTTCATTTTTAACCACTTCCAGTCCGGGACGCTTTCCCCTCCTTCCAGTCCGGACACTTTCCCCCCCTTCCAGTCCGGACACTTTCCCCCCCTTCCAGTCCGGACACTTTCCCCCCCTTCCAGTCCACGGACACTTTCACCCCCTTCCAGTCCGCGGACACTTTCACCCCCTTCCAGTCCCGCGGACACTTTCACCCCCTTCCAGTCCGGACACTTTCACCCCCTTCCAGTCCGGACACTTTCCCCCCCCCTTCCAGTCCAGACGCTTTCTCCCCCTTCCAGTCCGGACACTTTCCCCCCCCCCTTCCAGTCCAGACGCTTTCTCCCCCTTCCAGTCCGGACACTTTCCCCCCCCTTCCAGTCCGGACACTTTCACCCCCTTCCAGTCCGGACACTTTCCCCCCCTTCCAGTCCGCGGACACTTTCACCCCCTTCCAGTCCGCGGACACTTTCACCCCCTTCCAGTCCGGACACTTTCACCCCCTTCCAGTCCGGACACTTTCACCCCCTTCCAGTCCGGACACTTTCCCCCCCTTCCAGTCCGGACACTTTCACCCCCTTCCAGTCCGGACACTTTCCCCCCCTTCCAGTCCGGACACTTTCACCCCCTTCCAGTCCGGACACTTTCACCCCCTTCCAGTCCGGACACTTTCACCCCCTTCCAGTCCGGACACTTTCACCCCCTTCCAGTCCGGACACTTTCCCCTCCTTCCAGTCCGGACACTTTCCCCTCCTTCCAGTCCGGACACTTTCACCTCCTTCCTGTCCAGGCCAGTTTTCAGCTTTCAGCGCTATCACACTTTGAATGACAATTGCGCGGTCATGCAACACTGTACCCGTATGACATTTTTTAGCATTTTTTTGAGACAGATAAAGCTTTATTTTGGTGGTATTTATTCACCGCTGGGATTTTTATTTTTTTTTACTATATAAATGAAAATGTCCAAAACTTTTGAATAAAAGTATTTTTTCTTATAAAATTTTGCAAATAAATAATATTTCATCATAAATATTGGCCAAAATTTATTCCGTTATCTTTTTAGTAAAAAAAAAACAAAACAAAATTAGTTTTATAACCAAAAATTATAATTTTTTTAAACATTTTTATTTTATTTGTTTATATTATTATTTATGTTTTTTTTTTTTACATACAGTCCCCCTAGCAGTACATTGTCACCATGGTGACACTGTACTACTTGTAGGAGGTGATGAAAATGTTTCTTTTTTTACACTGATTGCTTTTACACCCATAAAGGCTGTAAAAGCAATCATTTCTCCTTCTCTCTGGCTGCATTCTTGCAGCCATTGATAAATACTATGTGAGCTGTGATTGGTCACAGCTTGTCACATGGTACAAGGCTGTTGTGAATAGCCCTGTACCATGTGATCTCTGTGATCATTCACAGATTTCACACGTAGTAAGCAATGATGTCAAAAGTGACATCTTGCTTACTACTCTGCATGTGATCACTGATTGGCCAATCAGTGATCACATGATCGGGACCTCTCACAGAGGTCCCGTACGACGATCGGTGTCAGAGGACACAGTGGGCACCGGATCGCGGTGCTTTCGTGCTCCCAGGGAGTGTGCACAAGCAGGGGGCGGCCATTTTTTTAAATGGCGACCCAAATCTGCACTGCCACCGTCTGGCCGTTTATATACAACAGCCAGTCGGGAAGTGGTTACAGCAGATGAAGTGCAGATTTGACATCTTCAAGCAGGAAGTCATCATAGTTACATAGTTAGTATTCCTGAGCCCATGCACTGATGTCCATCACAGAATCACGTCTGTTTTTAATGCAGTTCCATCAGAGGGCCCAGAGGATTTTGGCTTTGCCCCTTGCGCACAGAGATTTCCCCAGATTCTTTAAATCCTTTGATATTCTGTACTGTAGATGATGATGTATTTACATTGGGGAACATTATTCTGAAATTCTTCGACAATTTTATACTGTGATTTAGATTGATGAACCTTTATTTCTAAGACACACTCTGACTCTCTAAGATGCTCTTTTCATACCCATATCATGTTACAGACCTGTTGCCAATAAACTCATTAGTTGCAAAATGTTCTTCCAGCTTTTCCTTGTCAGCACCACCTACCCTGTCAGTTTTTTGTTGTCCTGTCCCAACTTTTTTGAGACATTATGGAGGTCGCTGTGCTCTTGGGAAGCTTCAGTGAAGCAGATTTTTTTTCTTTGTAGCTTTATCCAGATCTGTTCCTTGCAATAATCCTGTCTCTGAGCTATGCAGGCAGCTCCTTTGACCTCAAGGCTTTTGCTCAGATACAGTATGCATTGTCAGCTGTGAGGCTTTTTATAGAGAGCCTTTCCAAATCATGTCCAATCAATGTATTCTACCCCAGGTGGACTCCAATGGAGGTGTAGAAACATCTCAGCAATGGTCAAGAGAAATGGGAGGTGCCTGAGCTAAATTTCAGGTGTTGTTGCAAAGGGTCTGAATACTTCTGCAAATGTGATATTTCAGTTTACCGTTTTCATATATTTGCAAACTTTTCTATTGTGTTTTCACTTTATCATTATGGGGTACAGAGTGTAGATGAGAAAAGAAAATGAATTTAAACAACTGTAGGATCAGGCTGCAAAAATAGCAGCATTGAAAAAAGTGAAGGGGTCTGAATACTTTCTGAATGCACTGTCTATCCGAGAACAACATGGAATATATTAGAGCCTATCAGTAATATGATGTAGTGGCCGGCTTTTCTTTATTCAGGAATTTTTTTTTGTATTTTCTCCTGGTGATCCAGCCAATAACACACTTTCTGTCTTCGAGTGAGTTCACTGCAGCGCCATTGCATGTGCGGTTTACCCACAGTTTTAGGTGCGTTTCCATTGACTTCTATCAGACCTTGCCTTTTCTGAAAGTGCATTAAGGATGCAGCCTGCGGGACTTTGAATACACACAGTCTAATACAAGTCAATGGGGAGCACACCTAAAACCTCGGGTAAACCGCACATGCAATAATGCTGTGGCCAAACTGAAGCACACTGGTGTGAACCTGCTCTAAAGGTGACAATGCTCACTCACCATACTGTGTTCCAAGGAGAAGCGGGGTTGTAAAGAATATTTTGCTGGCTTGAGCCAGCACCTAGGTATGGAAAACATAGACTACTGTCTGCAGGGGCCAAGACGGCCACAGAATAGGTGCCTCAGGGCCACATGCAGCCTCCAGACCACATGCAGCCTGTAGTCATCTGTGGACTTCTACTGGAGTACTGTATCCACCAGTATCTCAATACAAAGGACGTTGCCAGGTAAAGGTCTCAAGATGGTGGAGGTTGGGGGGGTTGGACGTGCATGTTACAGGTGTATATTGCAGACATTGGATGGTGTATAGCTGGTCTGGGGACATCTAGGGGATATGGCACTGGGCTGAGGGGTAGGCAGAAGCATAGGTTGCAGCTCCTCGCCTCTGACTGAAGCACCCAACATGGCCGCCTCTTCTGCCTACCCCTCAGCCCAGTGCCATATCCCATAGATGTCCCCAGACTAGCTATACACCATCCAATGTCTGCCAAATACATCTGCAACATTGGATGGCGTATAGCTGGTCTGGGGACATCTAGGGGATATGGCACTGGGCTGAGGGGTAGGCAGAAGAGGCGGCCATGTTGGGTGCTTCAGTAGGAGGCGAGGAGCTGCAACCTATGCTTCTGAAGTAGTCAACTCATAGGAGAGGGGCACACTTTCTTAATGGACCTTGTCCCCATTCCCCATACTGGGCATAATGGTCCTTGTCCCCATACTGGGCATCATGGTGCTTGTCAGAGCACAGAATCCTGCAGGTCCATCAAGAAAGTGTGCCCCTCTCCTATGAGTTGACTACTTCAGAAGCATAGGTTGCAGCTCCTCACCTCCTACTGAAGCACCCAACATGGCCGCTTCTTCTGCCTACCCCTCAGCCCATTGCCATACCCTGTAGATGTCCCCAGACTAGCTATACACCATCCAATGTCTGCCATATACACCTGTAACATTGGATGGTGTATAGCTGGTCTGGGGACATCTACGGGGTGTGGCAATGGGCTGAGGGGTAGGCAGAAGAGGCGGCCATGTTGGGTGCTTTAGCAGGAATTGAGAAGCTGCAACATATGCTTCTAAAGTAG